GTACTCTTACAAGCATGTATCAGGCCCAACCCAGTTCAGACAAGGCTGAGCTGACTACCAGACTCCTCCTTTCAAGCTGACCACTCTGTCTTCCCAAACAGGTGGCCAAGTTCAACTTTGGCTCCATTTGTTCCTAGGGCATTAATCACAGCATTCACTGCTTGTTATTGATTGTATCGGACCTACTGATCCATTGGGTGGTACCTATACCCTTACCCACTTTGCTATTCAGCAAAGTTAAGACCTAAGTGTCAGTTGGGATTTATTGTATCATTGGCTGGAATAATTGGCCCTACCACTCTTTGGGCGTGGACATTTCTTTTCTCAATATCCCATGAGCCCAAAGGCAAAACAAATGCTTCAGGTGGGGCAATGGCAATGACTGTGTGAGATATTGTGTCAGTGTACCTTGCAGCAGCATGTGCCCCATGGGCAGACCTAGGCCTCATAGCTGTGCCCACTCAATAAAGGTGAGTGTGGTTGCCCTGCACCTGTATTTTGTTAAGGTGGCTATTGAATTTAGTCTATTGTGGTATAAGCATCTGTATTGCACACTTTTCCATTGGAGTTATTGGTGCAGCAGCTGCTGTTGCGTTTCTCCTTTTTGGTTGCTGTGTTGACATTATCACCTCAAAGAGTGTTGAAATGGACAAATCTTCAGTAAGGATGAAAGTATCCCTCACCTCTAGTGCTGTTACATAGGTTCTCTGGGGATCCTCTTGATGAATATTTCTTTATTAAGAATTCCTTTCATTCTACCATGGCCATTACTGTGCCTTCCTGTGCAGTTGGCACAGATTATCCATATATGTGACCAATCCTTCAATGTTGTCATTCTTTCAAGCCTTAAACTTGGCTTGGTAAATCATCACAGTTTCTGTCAGGTTGCCAGTGAATCTCATTCACAGTGCCTTTCACAATCATTTAACCGCACTTCTGTCAGGTGGTCTATGGTATCAAGGGCTGAACCATCAAGGCTTAGAACCAGGCATTAGACTGCCTGCTCTGGAGTCCATTCCAATCTGCCTGAAATATCTCAAAAATTGATCCAAGTCTTCCTTCACTGACCCTTCAAAGATTGGAGATGCGATTTGTATCACCTCACTTACCAAGCATTTTGTGCTAGGGCAAAACATCTCCCTTTCATGTTGACCCTGGTGGATATCAGATAGAGGTATTGCCAATCTTCTTGGTTCTTCATGTTGACTATTTACTGGCACTATGTTACCTAATACTTTGTGGTTGCAAGAAGACAAGCAGAACTCAGCCATCTGCACTCCCCTGTTGCTAAGATTAATCTTCTGGGGCACGACCAACTCACGTAGTGTGAGTGCACTAAATGCATACAGGTCACTAGAAGTCAGCAAAGACTGACTGATTTTATGAACTTCTGCAGCATCAGTAAAAGTTCTACATCCATGAGGAAACTTCTCCTTGACCTGATACCTTTCTTGGTCAACTGACTCTCTCCATGAGTGAACTCAATCTTTCACTTTCTAGTGCTTCAACATTCAGAGAAGCTATTATATTGACAGAATCGTTGCTATAAACTCTTTATGGTAAATAACAGTAGAATTAGGATTTATGCACACATAATACTTTGTTTTGCCAGAAAATCACACAATAAATCTTCAATGGCACCGAATTTTACTTTTTCTTTTAACTTGTATTATTTTAATTAAAATCGAATTTTTAACAAGTATCAGATAGATTTATCTACAGTAACAACTGAATTCGAAAAAATTAAGATACGTTTTGTTATTAAAAGTATTTAAACTACAAACATAAGAAAGTCATTATACTTTCGTAATAATAATAATGCAACACAGTTAGCTTTGTTTTTCTTAGAAAAATATCGTGTTTATCACAGCTTTTCATATTAGCATTCAAAACGAATCTGCTTGTTTGTTAATTTCCGGTAGAAATTCTTTCCGAGGAACTTCAGCGATACAAGTCCTTTCTTGATAAAACCAGTTTATTCTATACTATTTTCACTGGTGCGCCACTGATATAACTTCATGTAGCATGTCCC